AAACAACTTGTGTTTCACACGCTCATATGACCTTAGCAGTTGCGAGCGCCGTAAAACCCTATACTACTACTACTAGACGGAAAAAGCAGTAGCTCTCTCCGGAAATTCCTCTACCCAAAATTACAACCCTGAATTCAAAAAAGTAAAAATGTCTTTTGAAAAGACAACTGTTGATTTTAACTCTTCAAATGAAGAAAACTATAATTGCAGCTTTTCTCTTAATGAACTAAAATGTAATATTACAGAACTATCAAACACAGCTCCAGACCCTGATCAGATACAGAACGAAATCATCAAACGTCTTCCAGACGAAACACTCCTATTACTCCTTGATATTTACAATGAACTCTGCGGCATTCTCAACAATTTCCGAACAGTTGGCGTCTTGCTACTATTATACCAATCCCAAAAACAGGAAAAGATCTCTCTAACTCATCAAACTACAGTCCCATAGCACTTACAAACTGTTACTGCAAACTTATGGAAAAAATCATTAACAAACGTCTAATGTGGTATCTCGAAACCTCAAACTCCTTATCCAATTTCCAATGGGGTTTTCGCTAAAATGACTCTACTATTGACCTTCTCGTGCGACTTGAAACTTTTATTCGGGAAGCTTTCATTCGGAAAGAGCACTTTGTGGCTATTTTTTTCGACTTAGAAAAGGCCTTCGACACCACATGGAAACATGGTATTTTAAAAGACCTGCGTGACTTGTGCTTGCGGAAATCTTCCCGAATTTACAATAAACTTTTTGAAAGATCGATCATTTCAAATAAAAGTAGGTTCAACCCTATCAAATTTACACACCCAAGAAGAAGGCGTCCCCCAGGGAAGCATCTTGTCGCCCATTCTTTTCGAAATCAACATCAATTCCATCACAAAAACCCTTCAAAACAATATTGACTGCACGCTTTACGTTGACGACTTCCTGATCTGCTATAAATCCATCCAAAATAGATCACATTGAACGTCAGCTTCAATTCCATGAACTGGAAACTTGGGCAAACGGGCACGGGTTCAAATTTTCTACAACAAAAACAAACTGTGTACATTTTTGTCTGTCGCACAAGTGTGTGCGACAACCAGATTTATATTTGTTTGGAGAGAAAATTCCTGTTAAAAAACAAGCTCGTTTCCTGGGTGTAATCTTCGACAATAAACTTCCTTTTTTGCCACACTTGAAAGACCTAAAGACGAGGTGTCAGAGTGCTCTCAACACCTTAAAAGTATTATCCAATCCCGAATGGGGAGGAGATACCGAAATACTTCTTCAACTTTACCGTTCCCTTGTCCATTCCAGGCTGGACTATGCCAGTCCTGTTTACGGATTAGCTAGAAAGTCTTACTTTAAAATTTTAGACCCTGTTCAGAACCAAGGCTTTCGCCTTGCCCTAGGCGCTTTCCGTACTTCACCTGTAGAAAGTTTACAGGCAGAAGCTCATGAACCATCTTTAGAACTTAGAAGGAAAAAACTTTCTTTGCAGTACGCTTTGAAACTTAGCTCAGTGCCCCAAAACCCAGCCCACAAATGTGTCTTTGGTCTTTCCGAAGATCTAAAAACTCTATCCTCCTTAGGAAATAAAGTAAGCCCTTTCGGAATAAGAATCCCGAACGATCTCAAAGACATTGATTTTTCTGAAGACATAATCGAGCCCTTTGCCATGTCCAGCATACCTCCATGGCATTTAACCAAACCAAACATATATACTAGTCTTGAAAAGCACAACAAAAAGTCTACAGACAAAACTACATACTTAAAGTCCTACAAACAGCTAATAAATAGATACCTGAAGCAGAGAAACTCTTTACAGACGGATCCAAAAATGACTCCTCAGTAGGAGCTGCTGCCCTTGCATCGCCACACAGCTTTAGTTTAGGGAAACTCCACCCAGAAGCCTCAGTCTACACTTAACAGAATGTCTAGACTTTGGAGAGATCCGAAGGAAATATTATAAATGCAAGAAATTGCAAGATATTTTTTCCGTCGTTGGTCCCAGCAAAATTTTGAATTTTATGAAGGCCATTGGCCTTTATGGCAAATTGTAAAATGAAAACGTACTATTTGAAATTTTTATTGTTACTTAAAAGAGTTGTTTTAAATCACAAATATATTTACACTGAATTTAAATATTCTAACATTTTAGCATTTTAGAATCAATTAGTTAACCAATCGTGCAGCAAACTTTTGCGAAAGTAAACAACTTGTGTTTCGCGCGCTCATATGACCTTAGCAGTTGCGAGCGCCGTAAAACCCTATACTATACATACATACTGCTGAGGCTACAGCTCTTGAAATGGCCCTAAATATAATAGATCAATCAACCAGGTCTACTTTCCTAATCCTTTCAGACTCTCTCTCTTGTCTGAAATCATTAGAACGCTCTGACTCCTCCGTCAACAGAATTTTATAACTTTTAATTAAACTGCATTTTCTAAATCGTCTGGAAAAACTATTACAATAGCTTGGCTTCCAAACCATGTAGGCATTGATGGCAACGAAGCTGTTGACCAATTTGTCAAAGAATCTCTAAAACTGCCTGAAAACAAAACTAGTAAAATCCCTTTCTCTGACATGAAACTGAAAGTAAAAGAACACATCACATCCTCCTGGTCCCAAATTTGGAATCAACAAATACACAACAAACTCCTTTACATTCTTTACATTCAACAGAAACTTGCGCCCAGGAAACCACTGTCTCCCGTACGAAGAGAAAAAGTAATTTTTACCAGATTAAAGATAGGACACACACACGTCAAGCACAAACATTTGCTCAAAGGAGAGGAAGCTCCTTTTTGCGTGGCGTGCAACACAAATTTCACAGTTCGGCACATCCTAACGGAATGTGTCGAATTTAATTATGTTCGTAAGAAATTTTTTTAATGTAAAGATATCAAGATCCTTTTTGACATTGTAGACCCTAGAAAAATTTTAAGTTATGTAAAAGAAATAGGACTATTTAATAGAATATGAAAATATATAGTTATCGTTATCGGTGTATATATACATACACTGAAATTAATATTGTAAATACAAATGTATATAAGTCTTCACCATATTTACAAAATTTTATATAAATGTCTGTCCGTCATTTTAGCATAATGAAAATAGTGTGACCGTGTGCGTTTGCGAGCTCCGAAAGACTCTTACGTCTGATTTTGTTGCGGTGAAACCTGTAGGCGCTTAAATGACCAAAATTGTGTAGATAGTGCCGTAAAACATCTACTCAATCAACCTGGAGAAGAATCACAGAAATTGATGTACAGAAAAGTGGGAAGATATGGAATAACATCAAGAGGCTAACCCAGGATACAGAAAGGTGGAAAGTGTTTGTCCCTGGCCTATACCCTGGTGCAGGGTTAGAAAGGCTATGATGATGATAATGCTGATGATCTTGGTCTTTCTGCTGGGATATTGTTTTCCTTTAAAGCCAAGTTGGCCCTGACAGACAGGATTGGAAGACCAACTCTTAATGATCTAACTTGTATTGAAGGTGTCTAATAATACAGAAGTGGTTCTAAATTTGTAGTTCTGAATGATGTTGTTCTTTTTCAAATGCTGTTTGACAATTATGTGGGTTTTATTGTATTTGTTGCAGGAAGTAGACATGAGTGCCATAATCCTGTCTGCTCAGTTTTGGCCAGCTTTTCGAGACGAGAAAGTCAAGCTTCCCCCTGAACTACAGGATCATCTTGACCGCTACTCGCGAGACTTTGAGGTTCAGAAACAGAACAGAACATTGGTCTGGAAGCCCCATTTGGGTAGGCATAAGCTACGTTTGTCTGTCTGTCTGTCTGTCTGTCTGTCTGTCTGTCTGTCTGTCTGTCTGTCTGTCTCTCTCTCTCTCTCTCTCTCTCTCTTTTTCACTCTTAGGCCGGTCCCAGAGCGGCTCTGTAGGTCTGACCTGTAGCTCACCTGGCTCGCACCGTGCAAATGAATGTTTACATTATCGTGTGCTGAAGCAGTGTCGTCTGTTTTTTGTCAGCTGAGCTGTGCGATGCGTCAGACGTGCTATTCAACAGTGTTGTAAAAATGGCGGAACTGTGTCGCCTCGCTTCGTGTTTATTTTCGACTGAAACTCTTCACAGATCATCAAAATCAACAAGAAATAAGTATTACTAGGTGCTTTACTATTAAATATTGATGCTAGCTTCAACACTTGGCCACAAAATCACCCAGAAATGCACTTTATCATACTTTGAAACTTTGAATCGAGAGGTTGACCTAGTTTTGACTGTTGTCGTAGGCCTAGGCCTATAGGCCTAGATCTAGGTGTGCTTTTCTAGATCTAGATCTAGCCTTGCATTGTAACCAATGTAAACTATCGCCGGGCGCAGCTGCAAGTGTGTTGGGGGGGCTGCACTTGGCACGTGACGTAAAGAAGACATGTCCCGTCTTGGTATAATTGGTCTTGGATTCCACAGTACCTAAATATAGCAAGGCAGACCCGTCAGTTGCACACCTACACACGTCAACACACAGTGCGGCTGTGCTGAGATGCAGCGAGTGTGCCTCGCGCTCGCTGAGACACAGGCGCCAACCCACAGTGCGGCTGTGCTGACACACACACGGCGTGCGCCCGGCGAGCTACAGGTCAGACCTACAGAGCCACTCTGGGACTGGCCTTACTCTTACTGCATATTGCTGTCTGTCTGTCTCCCTTTCTCTCTGTGCTTCTGTCTCTTGCTCTTACTGCACATGGAGACCCTCTAGACAGCCAGCAATGCCGCACTTGTCTTAGCAAAGTAATGTTGTTGCTATAGTCGTTTGTCTGAATATCTGTCTGTTTCTCTCTCTCTCTCCCTCTCTCTCTGTCTCTCTCTCTCTCTCTGAGTCTGTCTCTCTGTCTGTCTGTCTGTCTGTCTGTCTGTCTGTCTGTCTGTCTGTCTGTCTGTCTGTCTGTCTCTCTTTCTCTCTCTCTTTCTCTCTCCCTCCCCCCCCCTCTTTCTCTCTCTCTCTCTCTCTCTCTCTCTCTCTCTCTCTCTCTCTCTCTCTCTCTCTCTCTCTTTCT